ATGATGGGCATGTGCAGGGATGACAGGTGCAGGTCGTGCTGGTGGGGCAGGGAGATGGCTGTGCTCCTGCTCGGGGTGGGGGTGGGGGAGATGGCCATGATCTTTGTTCTTTATCACTTTGCTTCACATTTTTCTGATTAAAAAAATAGTTACAGAATGGATTAAGCTTATTTACATTGAACCTTATGGGGAAATTTGACTTGGCTCATGACCAATTTGGGTCACGACCAGGGTCCTTGAACAGATTAAGTTTGTGAGCCAAGGTACCACTGTAGACTGGAATGGGGCATTTTCAGTCAGGCAAACATAATGTGTTCTACCCTGGAAATAAAAAAAAAAAAATAAAAAAAAATGGAGTGGCTTTAATACTCCGGCAAGATATAGCACTGGCAATAAGAGGCTTATAATGCAAAATCCAACCAAATATTATAAAGAAATGGAATGGCTCTAATACTGAGGCAAGATGTAGTGAATATATTAGGAACTGTAATGCAAAATTGAACCAAATTATATCAATCAGAATTTGTGGGGAAATGATCATCATTCAAATTCATGCTCCAGCAACAGATGCTGAAGAAGGAAAAATAAAAAGCATATATGCAAGTATTCAAGAGGAAATTGATAACACACCAAAATAATTCTAGGTGATTGGAACACAAAACTGGGAAAAAGCAGAATTAAATGTGGTAGGAAAATTTGGCCTAGGTGTCAGAAATGAAGCAGGAGAATGATTCATAGAATTTTGTGAACCAAATAAATAAATAATCTGTTTATCACAAATGCATACTTCAAATAACAGACCAGATGACTGTATACAAGGACATCACCAAATGGCCAATATAGAAATCAAATAAACCATTGAATTGGAAACATAAAATGGAGAGATTGTATTCTCTCTGCCAAACAAAACCAGGAGCAGATTGTGGTAGTGACCTTGAATTCTTAATATTAAAAATCAGAGTCAAGCTAAAATCGATCACCAGCAGAAACACAGTGCCAAAATACAACATAAATAACATTCCTGAGGAATTTAAATTCTACATAAAAAACAGATTTGCATTACTGAACTCAACTGACCATGAACCAGAAGAACTGTGAAATGAAACCAGAGAAGAATGGAGAAAGACAATTCTTGTAGTAAAAGAATGATGGTAATGGAAAGGGTGAAATCTGCTCTGAAAGCACTTTCCCACAGAGACAAAACTAATTATTATAATGCCCAGTGCAAAGGAATAGAAGAGAACAACAAAAGAGGAAAAATGATACACCTCTTCCAGATGATCCAAGAAATCAAACTTAGATTATGCATGCTGAAAGACAAACAGGGACATGCTATCTGAACAGGAAAAAGAAGGTAGAAAGGATATAGAGAAGAACTATACAAACACATGATAGGATGACAGACTCCTTTGAGAAGAAATCCTATGAGAAAGAGTCTACAGTATTAGAAAGCAAAGTGAAATCTGCTCTGAAAGCACTTGGAATGAAGCACTCAGAGTAGGTAGGATACCCAGAGAACAGAGACTGAATCACTCCAAATCCTAAAAAGAACATGCCGGCAAATATGGAAAACGAACAATGATCCACAGACTGGAAACGTTCAATATACATTCCAATCCCCAAGAAAGGAGATGCAAAAAAATGTAGCAACCATAGGATCATTGTACTAATTTCCCATGAAAACAAAGCAATGCTCAAGGTGTTGCAACAAAGAATATTGCCATATATGGAACAAGAAATACCTGATGTTCAAGCTGGATTGTAAAAGAAAGAG